CGGGTGGGTGACGCGGCCTCACCATGAGGAATTCGACCTCCGGCTGGTCACGCTTCTTCTCTATCTCCACTATCAGCGTGTCCAGCAGCGATTTCCTCTCCGAAACATCGGAGACGTATCGGCGGCGCTCCTCGGTGAGCTCCCCGTGCGCCCGGTCGAGCTGGGCCAGCAGGACGCCCTCCTGCTCCCGCAGGAACTGCTGCAGCTGCTCGAAGGTGTCCCGCAGCCTCTGCCGCTCCGAGGCCACCTGCCCCTGCAAGGCACCGGCACGGAGGCCCCTGAGCCATCCCGTCCTCCGGCTGCTCCCGCACAAGGACCTGGGGCTGCCAAGAGGGGGGCGAGGGTTGGGGGGAAAAGGAGAAGAGTTTTGGGGGAGGAAGAGCTGGAGGAGTGGAGGGGGGAGAGGGGCAGAAAGTCTTGGGTGTTGATGGACCCAAGATGACAGCGGAGTCTGAATGACAGCGGCAGGGAAGAAGGATAGACGGGCGGGACAGAGGGGGAGAGAGTGGGGAGGGGGAAAGGTGGGACGTGCCGGTGAAGATGGGTGGGCAAGCAGGCAGAGGGGCTCGGCGTGCCCATGGAGAGAGAAACGCGTACCAGCAGGCCATCGCTTTTCTTTTCTCCTTTGGGCTTGAATTCTTCTTTCTCTTTCTGCAGAAAAACCAGGTTGCTCTGGAGCGTCTCCTGGAGAGGAGGCGGGGGGGGTGAAAAAAAGCAGCGTATTTGGTGATTTTGGTGTTACATTTGCAGGAGTGAGATGATGTCACACTGTGGGGACAGCACGGCTCTGCAGGGTCACCGGGGGTGGGTTTTGAGCTCAGCTCTGCGGGGAAGGGAAGAGCTGGGAGGCAGCACCCACCTCTCCCCAGGCAGGCCCTACAGCCGCCCAGCTGGTTTGGCCGGAAACATTTCTGGAATAGCTTCATGTGGAAACCTTGAAGTTTGTGGTTTGGGTTTGTTGGGGTTTTGTTTTTGGTTTGTTTTTTTTTTTTTAATTAGGAAAAACAACTTTTGGTGTTGGAAGTGGGATTTGTGGGAAGAGGCTGGCAGTGACAGCAGCACTGTGTCTCAGGCGCACTCCATAAATTCGCTGGAATATTAAAAAAACCCTCGCGCTCCTCCAAGCCATGCCCTGTGGCACAGCGAGCTGCTGGCGCGGGGGACCCCAGCCCCCATACGGGTGGGGGAGAGACTGGGGGTGCAGGGGGCACCAGGGACCTTGCAGTGGCCACAGCGGGGTGAGCAGCGAGAGGGACCCACGCTCCTGGAAGGGCTGGGGGGAGGCAATGGGCAGCGAGAGCCACGAGAGAACCAGCAGCCCCAGCAGGGTGGCGGGGATTCGGGACCCCAGCCCGTGGCCAGACGGGGACCCCAAGCCATGGCCAGATGGGGACCCTAACCTGCACCCAGGCAGGGACTTCAAACCCATACCCGGATGGGGACCCCAGCCAGCAGCTGGATGAGGACCCAAATCCGTGGGTGGACAGGGACCCTGACCTGTGCCGGGAGGGGACCCCAGCCCACGTGCAGAGGGGACCCCAAGCAGTGCCTGGAAGGGACCCCAGCCCATGCCCAGAGGAAACCCCAGCCTGTGTCAAGGGGACCCCCAGAGCTGTGCCCAAAGTGGACCCCAACCCATACCCGGAGGGAACACCAATCTGTGCCCAGAGGGGACCCCAACCTGTGCCCCAGGGGGACCCCAGCCCATACCAGGGAATGGCCCCCTCGCACCCCTCCAAGGGTCCCCAGCCCCTGCCCAGAGGGGACCCCAGCCCCTATCAGGGAAGGGCCCCCTCGCACCCCCGAAGGGACCCCAGGCCCTGCCCGGAAGGAACGCTGCCCTCTTCCTGGAGGGAACCCCGACCCGTGCC